TAGCTGCACACACAGACACACAGACACAGACACACACACAGAGCAATTGAAACTTAAAACTAGGCATTTATATCCCACCCATCTAGTGCCTAAGCACTAAGGCTTAATTTGGACTAGTGCCAGGAAACAGAAATAGAGGAACTCAAAATTAAAAAAATCCAAATGATGCTGTCCCTTTTAAAAAACTAGAATGAAAGGTACACTGAAAACACCAAAACAAATGCAAAGAAAAAGGCAGCCACCAAAAGAACCCAAAACAAAAAAATCTGAAATTTTTCACCATGCATATCCCCAGTCATCATCCCTGGGCCCCCCGATTCCGTTCTTATACTTCGGCCCAGAGCTTGGACAAGTTCCTTTTTGTTTCACAACTCCTAGAATTCCAATGATGGTTTGAGGATTCTGGGATTTGCTGTTGAAAAAAGTAAATTTGTCTCTGCTTGAATCACTTTCTTTTTTCCCCCTAAACTCGGTGGCTTTGTGGCTCTTTTGGAAGGATCAGTACATCAAATGAGAATGCTATAGCAGTTCTAAGTAGGGTGAAAATAGTTTTTAAAAATGTGGTGTTCAGGTCTCAGATACTGCCTCTCAACCCATCCTGAAGACAGGCTATTTTATCTCTCTTTACAATGAGAATTTAAAACACATTGCCCCATTTTAGCTGAGCTTGTGCACTTGGGCTCTTCTACAGGACAGATTTCGTTGAGAAACAGGGTCAGCAAAGCTAGTTCATTTATGGCTCAAAAAGCAGGTCCTCTGATGAGCCTGACACTAGACTTTTTTTTTTTGCATCATCAAACATTTTGCTATCTGTGCTGAGAATGCAGTTATGGAGTTGGACTTAAAGCTTATGGAAACCCATTAAGACTTTTTAGCTTTAAGGGAACTCTCATGCTTCAGGGCATATGCTGATTGCCTTCAGGGGTCAGAAAGAATTTTCCCTTCTATACGAGATCAGTGCAATATTTGTTAATGCATCTAGCTAAGACATTTTGCAATCCTGTAGCTTCAGGCAGATCCAGGCCCATCCTGGTTTCCTTGATCAATGAACAAATGCTGAATTGGCAACTTGCTTTTCCCCTCTAGAGACAAATGTTACAATGCAACAGAAGATATTTTCTTGCATGCAGGGAACAGATGCTTGGCAGATCAGGGCAAAGCAAAGAGCGAACACATTTTATTAACGTTTCCACCCAGTTCTAAAGCAGGTCTGCACAGAAGTCCTAAGGTGAGGAAAGGTGAAGACTTCCTTCTTTCGGACAAAGTGTTCACCAAAGGGGATGTGCCAAATGATTGAGCGCAATGGAATATGTGGCCCATTCTTATATACAGTAGATGTGGAGGGGAGTCAGTCAAAATCCTATTCCATAAATGTGTGTGCACTTTAGAATGTTAGCCTAAATACATCCTTCCTCCATCTTTAAATGTCACACCATGATGGGCAACTTTAATGGGTTGGGGCCAATTTTCTGACCTCTGGATCTTCTGGACGTGCCATGGACTGTGAAAAATGAAAGGGAGGGGTGAATAGAAGTGGCCAGCTGTCCCTTCCAGGCCTGGAAAAAAATGAACATTTGAGGGCAATGAACATTGCAAGGGGACCCCCACATTTAAAATTTGCTGCTTCTGGAGGATTCCTGGAGAGATAATTCACTTTGTTTGCTGGAGGAACTCATTTTTCTTTAATTGGCAGGGGAATCTGATGGGTCTGGGGCACACAAAAACAATCTTGGGGGTCTTCATGCAGGTCGAGGGCCACAGTTTGCCCACTCCTGCATGCAGAAAGGAACGTGCAAGGGACAGGGGAAAAAACCTGCTCTCTTTCCATTTTACCTTTTTTTTTTTGTTTCTTTCCACATATTTCTCTATTCTTGGCTCGTCTTCCATATCAGAGTGAAGCTGGTGAAAAACTACTTAACGGCAGCATGGTACAGGGAGATAAGAAAAAGGAATCTTCTGAGTTTCACTCCCCTTGCTTATGCACCTTTCCTCAGTGTATGTCTGCAAAAGGGAGATTCCCATTGGGCATGTTGTTATGTAATTGCTGTTGTTGGATATCGTCCCAGAGTTCTCCATTTGGAGAGTGTCACCTGTCAGACAAAGACCTAAATTGTGTTCACCTGGAGAAAGGCTGGGCTGAAAGCTTCTTGTCCCATGATGGGTTCACTGAGAGTTCCTTTTCTAAGAGGCAGCTACAGTTTTGCAGTCCAAAATGTCTGGGTTTTGCCTTCCAAACAGGCAGGGCGGTAGGCACATCCGTAATTCTTACCACTCCTTTACACTTTTAGTTGGGTCCTAAGATTTACCATATTAACATCTCATGGCAATGTTTCCCAATTTTGTGTCCTCAGGTGTTGTTGGTTTTCAGCTCCCAGAAAGCCTCATCAGCCAGGAATTCTGGGTATTGTAGTCCAATAACACTCTGGGACCCTAAATTTGGAACCACTTGCCCATGGGAAGCATCATAATGATGCTTGCTCAGGACTGTTTTTTTTAATAGTAAAGCTTTATCAAATACTGCTAACAGCTTCCAAGGCAGGTATTCTTAGCAATACTTTAAGGCTATATATTGTCTTAATTTCAGTGTATTATTCAGGGCATCACAGAGGTTCCTAGGCATGGGGACAGAGAGTGGATCGAACTCATTTAAATCAAAATGCATTAGGTATCAGGCTGCAGAGCCAGAGGCTGGGAGTTCAAATCCCCACTGTGCATCCAAGAAGAGCCAGCCTGTGTAGCCTTGGGCAAGTGACACCGTCCCAGAGCACCCTCAGAAGAAAGGAATGGCAAACAATTTCTGAGTAATCTCCACCTAGAGCACCCAGAAAAGAATTGCCAAAATCACTGAACTGCAATAGAAACTGACAATTAGCAGACCACTTTAACAGGCTCTCAACGCTCTACCTACTTGAGCAGAGCTTGAAAAAGTTGCTTTTCTAGATTTACAAAGTAGCCAGCTGGCTGGAGGATCCCAGGGTGTATAATCTAAAAATGTGATATTTTGAATCTACATACCTGAGTAGCCTGACTCATCTCATCACCGAAACACCTTGGTTAACACATCTAGTCGTTCAGACATTCCACCCCACACTAGCCTCAATACCATACCACAAATCTGATCTATCTTCTACACACTTACATACATCGGTTTCCGAAGCTAGGATAAACATGAGCCTGGCACAAGATACAAAGCAGGTGGAAGAATGCTCGCCTAGAAGGAGATATCAGGATCAAGGAGGCTTCAGATATATTGAGAGGAAGGAGTCTACTGGAGAGGAAGAGGCTTCTGATACTAATTGTAGCCCAGATAATGATCTAGATTTTAAATTTCAGATGAAAAGACTACAGCTTTGCTAGCGTAAATCCCCAGTATTGCTCTTACAACATTTCATAGTTTGTTTTTCTTTTCCCCTGCCCTTGCCATCAAAGCTCGTGGCCCTTGCCTTCTGCTTAGCTACAATGGTAGCTCTTTTTTTCCTGCTCCTGACTGGTTTCAGCTCTGTGGTGACTTTTGCAGCAGTGTGCAGACCACTCAGACCCTGGTATGAAAAACTGACTTTGGTCACTAACAAATAAGCTTCTTGCTTTGGGAGGAATGCATCCCTGGTCAGACTATAGCATATAATACCTCTCCTCCTTGATGGTCAGTCCCTCAGCCAGCTTATTCAGAGTAAACGTCATGCGACTTACACTTATCCATCCAAACAGCCACCATATAGTCTGTAATATTTAGACGTGCTTACTTTGAGGCAGTAATTTTCAGTGAGACTCTCTCTCTCTCTCTCTCTCTCTCTCTCTCTCTCTCTCTATCTATCTATCTATCTATCTATCTATCTATCTATCTATCTTTCATAGAACCAACTACCATTTCTTTGCCCCACTGCAATCTTTCATAGAACCAACTACCATTTCTTTGCCCCACTGCAAATACAGTTTCTGAGATGATAAGTAGTAGAGCATGCACACACAGAGACCCTGCGTGCACACACAGTTAAGTTTCTCCATGTAGCATCAAACTCCCCCATGCACTAAAATACCTGACGTCCACTAGCATTAGCTATTATGCTCCAAAATATGGCCAGCAAATAATCTATTTTTCATGAAGTTATTGCAATGCTTCACTTCCTAGGATCTCTTCTAAGACATTAAATTCTATGCTTTATTAAAAAAAACCTATTCTGCTACACATTTTCTTCTGCTCATTTATAGCAGAGCAACTCTGCATTCTAGGAGTTACTGAATTTTCAGAGAGGAAGTATCTGCATTCCATATTTTTTCACATCAGTGCTATCAATGATCGATTTTAGTTAACATCAGTTTATTTACCTTAAATTTGGGGCTGGACTGAAAAAATGTACAAGAGTGCAGTCAGACAACTAAGACAGATTAGAAGGGGCTGTTTCAAAGGAAGCGATCTTCCTTAAAGTGGAGTTTCTGTCTGCTGGGGAGTCATTCTATCCTGGCCCTCAAGAGAAGTAACTCTGCAGGTGGGACAAAAAAGAATCAGTTTGAGCACAGATCAGGGTCCAGCTGGAGCACATTTCCCCGTTCATCGTCTGATCACTGGGAAATAAATAGTCCCTAGCCCCACAACAAGGGGTCCAAATTGTAATCTAGTTTTCTGTTTCATTTCTTAAGCCCTCAGTTTCATACTAGTAGACAAGCACCAATCCATAACTTGCTTATGCCAAGTGTGTTAAATTAATATAGACAGCATTCACAGCCACATATTTCTCAGTTTAAGGGGGGGGGTCAATGGGACTTACAGAACAGAAAAAAAAATAACATGGCCACAGTTAATATAACTATCCTTCTTTTTGTTTTCCTATTGGATCGGCTGAAACAAACAGGTGTCAGGTAAAACTGAAATTCTTAACATTCCAAGCTAAATAAATGCCTTGGTTGCTGACATAACATTCAGCTTCGCAAGTAGTTTTGCACAGTTCTGACATAATTTGACCAATCCATTTAAAATAAGTGATTTAAACTGACATACTTACACAGATAGGTGTATTCCCAACAAAGAGAATCAGAGGAAGTATTGGCATACAGATAAAACAATTAATCATGATTTTAGGAGAGGCTGTCTTCCGTTTCTGAAAAAGGCTTTCTTTTTTCCAACTTTTCCCCCCTGTTAAGTAAACTTAAATCCTCAATAACACGGTTCTGCCCTGCAAATTATTAACTATACTTACAGGCTTGATCATCCTGAGCCCAGCAAGTATTACTGCCAAAGAATCAATATGAGCTTTCTCTGAGGCATACAATATATTAAGGTGCAAATCTGCTATATTCATCAACCTTCATTTCTTTCATTTAGATCAGCCTCAGTCATCATCATCAACACTTGAATATTTGAAAATCAAAATTAAATGGTGGAAATCCATCAAAGCCATAAACACATGGGCAGTTCCAGTAATTAGATACCCAGATGGAATAATAGATTGGACACAAAATAAATTAGAAGACTTGGATTGAAAAACATGGACATTAGTGATCATGCATCAGACACTATATCCAAAAAGTGATATGGACAGATTATATTTACCATGAAAAATTGAAGGTAATTAATAACTGCAAAAAAGCAGGTAGCAGAGGAGGAAAAAAAAGCTTAAATGATTATATTAGTACAAGTAGGGAAAATTACTTAAGGCAGTGAAAATGGAGAATATTTAAAAAAAACTGAAACAAAGGCTCAATATAAGAAATAACAATTTGAAAATAACAGTTGGAAAAATAAACCACTACATGGACAACACCTGAGAAATATTGATGAAAAGCATGATCATAATTCAACATGGGCATGGCTAAAACTGGCAACCATTAAGAAAGAAACTGAAAGATTGATTTTTGCTACACAAGAACAAGCAATCCAAACCAAAAAGCTAAGATTCAAGGAATTAGTGCTAGCAGCAAGTGTTGACTCTGCCAAGAAAAAGATGAAACTGTGTCACACCTCATCTGTGAATGTCCAACGATTGCACAAATAGATTACAAAATAAGATAGAGTGGCAAAATTAGTTCACTGGTCATTATGCAAAAAATATAACTTGCCAGCATCCAAAAACCCGTGGGAACATCAAGTAGAGAAGGTCTCAGAAAATGGCAAAGTCAAGATCTTCTGGGATTTCCAGATCCAAACTGATAGACACCCTGAACACAACACACAGGACATAGTAGTCATAGAATGAAGACATGTCTGGATCATTGACATTGCAATCTGAGGGGATGACAGAACTGAAAATAAAGAATTGGAAAAACTAACAAAATACAGAGAACTGACAATTGAAACATCTCGCCTCTGGAAGAAACACACTTCAATGGTCCTCATAGTCATCGGGGCTTTGGGAACAATATCAAGAAATTTCACACTTTATTATAAGCAGTTGTAGACCTCAGAAATAACACCCCCAGAGCTACAAAAAATGAGAATATTAGGAACATACATACTGTACCAATATTTAACAGAGACTTAGATTTTTTGTTAAAATTTGTATCTGTTATATAATGCTAGTCAATGTTTTTAAAATGCTGATTGACTGTGCCTGGCATTTTTTGAATTATCATCATAATCATCCCAGAAAAACCCATCTTAGTCCAGCTCCTGTCAAAGGGCACAGTGGGGAATTGAACTCCCAACCTCTGGTTTTCCGAAATCACTGAGCAATCCAGCAGTTTCTCAACCTTTATATGTTTTCTTCTACATTTCCCACAACCACCAACAAGAGATCACACTGGTTGATTTTGTAGAACATCTGGAAGGCAAGTCATGGTTGCCCATGCATTGGCATTTTTGCCCCTTAGAGAAAAAATACTGGATTTTTGTGATCTCTTTTTTCATGAAATGTATGGGTTGAATATGTATTTTGGGATACAGTAAATAGCAACCTCTACAGACCATTTAAAGTAAAATAAGTCTAATGCTAGGAATAGCCTTCCCTACCTACAGGGCTAATTTTCAAGGAAGTATCGAAGTTCACAGGATGTTCAATGAGGCTGATGAATCATTCAAGTTGAGTTGACCCTGATACAACTGATTGCCTATTAGCAGGATTTTATTAAGAAGTCACAACTTTTTAATATCATTGTTTCTGGACACCATGTTATCTTTTTCAAGAAGTTTAGGTATAAGTATATATTTTACTGCTATCTTTATTCTAATAGGCTTCTAACAAGCCTATTCAGACCAGGGGGAAGTGAAACCAAAGTGGAGGATATATCAGGGATCTCCTACCAGCTCATCTCAGACTGAAGAAACTACTTGGAAGAGTATCAAAACATTTCAATCTAATAAGAAAGAAGTTCAGTTGCCACAACTCAACTTCCAGATAACCACACCTGGATGATTGAGAATCTTCACAGATAAATTTCTATCTTTATTGTTTTTGTGCATATATTTTTCATTACTGTGAAATGATTTTATTTCCCTGAACGCATTTTATTATTTTATATATTTTCTGTTTTCTCACTTTTCTTTCTTGCCTTGGTTTTAGTATAATAATAAATAAATAAAAAGAAAAAAGCAATACCAGAATATCCCTTTTACTCACCCACCCCAGTTCCTCTGGATAGTTACTAGTTTGGCTGATCATGAAATACTATGAACACAGCATATTGTGACTGTAGAAAAGTTTTAACAAATCCCATAATGCCATTCTTGTTTTCAAATTGATAATATGTGAGCTGGGCAGCAGTAGTCCTAGATCAGTCCTCTGAATAGTCAGGTTTGAATCATCCTGGAGTTAAGTCTTAAGTAAGTCTTGATCCGGCTGGCATTTGTCCTGTTGCTTGGCCCACTGCAGGGACTGGCTGATTCACTCCCTCCCCCCACCCACTGGTAATAACATGATGTAATCGCTAGAGTGAAATAAATTGCTCCCAGAGTGCTCCTACACTCACCTTTCTGAGTCCTTATTAGGGGCTTCTACTTGTTTGGTGCTGTAAGGCTTGCTCTGTTTTGGTCTGTTACCAGCATGTGTAATGACTGGGAATGGAGCAAAAGCAAACCTTCCCAGCTGTCAGGGCTCTTTTTGATTGAATACTTCCTCTGTTCCTTGAGAGAGGAGCAGGGGAAGTGAAATATCTTTTAAGACAGTGGTCCCCAACCCTGGGCTTCCAGTTGTTCTTGGACTACAACTCCCAGAAGCCTCCACCAGCACCTCTTCTGGGCAGGATTTCTGGGAGTTGAAGTCCAAGAACATCTGGAGGCCCAAGGTTGGGGACCACTGTTTTAAGACTCTTGCAAGCTATCACTGAGGGACTCCATCAGAGAAGCCTTGCAGCCATCCTCCTCCTGAGCTCTGAGAGGGTCTGTGCCCCACTCTTCCCTGCCCTCTTCCCCACTATATAGGAGATGCCAATCAGGTCCACATGAAGTTTAGGCAAGCTACTTGAGAGGGTTACGGTACCTACAGGCCACTGGCTGGTAGGGACCAAGGGTGAGTGGTGGTGGAGGAAGCCTTTGCTGCTTGTCTCCAGGGACACCTGATGGCATGCATCCAGCACTATTGCTGTGGGACCCCATGCCTGGCCCACCTGTGAGGGATCCTCGAGCTGGTGGAGGAGGCAGAGTTGTACACCTCTCAGTAAAGACTATTCAGGGCAATGCCCCGAGGACTGAGGGAATGGTGCCCAAAGTTGTTTGTTCTTGTTAATGGCCTTTTGACCCTTTAAAAGTTCCGTTGTTAAATAAAGGAGCCTGTTTCTGCAACATCTCTCAGTGTAGTCATTGAAGGATGCACAGGGGCTATTCACAAGAAGTAATTTACATAGTGTAATAACCAGGTTTGTTTGGATTCACCCTTGTTCCATGTCACTGTAAATGCATTTTCTTCAACTGTGAATTTTAAAGGCTAGGCTGGTGGGAGAGAACGTGGACACCCTACAATAATTTCTTAAAAGGCTCAATATAGAATGGTTAATACTTTGTAAGTGACATTATAATTCTTAAAGCATCTGGCATCATGCCACTATTACAACAGTTGGCCATTAAATTAGTCCAACATGCTGTTGTGTGTATTCTCGGAGGCTTTCACAGCTGGGATCCAATGGTTGTTGTAGGTTTTTTGGGGGCTGTCTGGCTGTGTTCTTGAGGTTTTTCTTCCTAATGTTTCACCAGTCTCTGTGGCTGACATCTTCAGAGGACAGGAGTCAGAACTCTGTCTGTGCTCTGATGCAGCTTGTGGGATAGTATCCCATAAAGCAGAAGAAGCACCAGGGCCCCCAACTCTGTCTGTGTTCTGGTGCAGTTTGTGGGATCCCACAAACTGCACCAGAGCACAGAAAGAGTTCTGCCTCCTGTCCTCTGAAGATGTTGGCCACAGAGACTGGTGAAACATTAGGAAGAAAAACCTCAAGGACACAGCCAGACAGCCCGGAAAACCTACAACAACCATGCTGCTGTGTTCTTCCCCTTGCAGTTCTTAACTCAAGTGTGCTCATCTAAAGGAGAATCTATATGCCTCCTGCCATATAACTTTGTTTGTGTTTGTGGTCCCATAACATTTTCCATAAATAAGGTAACTTTCCCTAGTTAAGAGGACAGAAAGATGAAAGGAATGTAATAAAGTACAACTTTATGTAATCTGTCCTTGACTAAGATAAGGTGCACTGAATTTTAATAGAGCCCTGATTCATCAAATCTCAAACAGAATTAAAGTATGGACTGGATCCTAATAACAGTGTGCTTTATACCCATAAAAGATAAATTAAAGGATGCAAAACTGCTATTGACAAACATTGATTATATGTACTTTGAAGGACTTTGAAGTTGTGCCAGATGCATCTTGTCAGCCTCGAAAGTTTTCTCTTAAATCTCATTGCGTAAGGCTTTTACTTTTTAATTATTTTTTCAGAAACGCTTTGATCAAGTGAAATGTAGATCATATTTGGGTGATGCAACTTCCTATGCATTCTATTAAGATATGCCCTTGTGCATCACTTCAGCTATATCTTTGCAAAAGTTATACAGTACTTAATAAAATTAATCTGTTATGCTCAAACCTATTTACTTTTTAAACTCATCTTCTTAGATCAGTGAATTAAATTTGCCACACAGCACAGGTTGTGTCTCTTCCAGGCAAACTCTAAGCCGCGGCGCACCTATTCAACTGTATCGTAAACT